TTGTGATTGAGAAACATATTGTGGGTTTTTTTGACTCCTTTAAATCAAAATGAGAGCCTAAATCCTGCAGAAAGTAGCTTTGCTACTAATCTTTTTGTTGTGTTGTAGAAAGCGGATTTTTTTCTTTTACTGTCTTTTACACCTTGTCAGTAATATCTAGAGTGATGGCCATGTGTAACTTTATAAAAATGTTACTCTTCTTCCTTTCATACCTGTTTTCACAGTAATATAGATGCCAGCAATGACACGATTCTTTTTTTAAATGTCTAGGTAGAGCCTTTCTTTGTCACATTATCACTCTTTGATATTAAAAACAACCGGAAGATTTCAGCAGATTTCCATGTTGATTTGAACCATGCCTCAGTAAGGCACATGATATCCAGTGCATCTCAACAAATGATGAATGGCAGCGGTGACAGCTTACACAGAATTCAAGACATTCATGAAACTGTGTTACAATATCCAAAGCAGGTAAGAACTAGTAACCTAAAGTATTAGTAGGCTTTTGGGTACAAGTAGAGAGTTTTCCTTCAGGCTTTGGATCACTTTTTATTATGTGATGTAAAATGTGTATGCACTTTCCTTTTATATTTATCTCTTGTTTTATTTCTAGGGAATATTCTCAGTCACGTGTCCTCATACTGACATTTTCCTCGTTGCTAGAATAGAAAAAGTATTACAGGGAAGTATTACACACTGTGCTGAACCATACATGAAAAGTTCAGATTCTTCAAAGGTATGTTATCTTCTTCTGTGGCATGGAAAAAATGCTGAGGCAAAACAGGTTTATTTGAAATTAAGAAATATCAATAAAAAGCTTAGTTCTTTTATAGGAAATTCAGATAACTGGATGACTTGATTTGGTAAGCTGTAGTTATTACTAGTAACTATTATGAATTGAAATGTTATAGATAATGTTTCCCAATAATATGCTAGACTTTTATTTAGCTTTTTACAATCGTGACATAATTATTTTTTTTATAATGGCTTTAAATAAACTGATTTGACAAAAGAGTATTAGACTTCAGTGTGAAAGTTGAGTTGAAAATTATTGAACAACGAAATATTAAATATAGGTCAGAAATTAACTGTATGCCTCTCAGTTAATGAATCTTACTGTATCATTGTTGTTGACTTTTTCTTTGTGTCACTTCTTGGTGACCGTAGTTTACTCTAACTCTATCTGCCCTTTTGCTGGTTTTTTCCTTCAGAAGCGTTGAGCTCATTAAGCCCATGTTCTTATGTATAAAATGCTTTGCAGATTTGATAGAAGTCCAAATCCCTTTTGGAAATAAACCACTGAAACATCTTAAGTTTGCAGGAATCTAGGATGACATAACCATTTAATGTTTTTGAAAACATATCTATAAGAAGTTTTGTCAGTTGCTGCTTCTTTTGTCATTGAAGAAATAGAGTTTTAATTTTGTTGATTTAGAGTTGTGCTTAAATAGTTGGACTAGGATACTAGGAGAAAAGTTGAGGTTTTTTTCATTAGCAATGTCAGCTACTGTTGACATTCTTCCTGTTTTCAGCTAGTGAAAGGGAAGAAGGAACGGTTAATTTTTAGTGTCTGCAGAGGAACAGTGTTCTTTCCTACTGATTTAATACTGGCTAAGCTACACATAAAAAACCCTGTATTTTTTACTTGGTCTTAATATAGATCAGACTACTGATTTGCTTTTCCAGGAATACTTGAGATTTTTTTCAGCTATCATTCGAAAACAGCAGCTTTAGGAGTCTGGTTTTGAAGTGTATGCTGACTGTTACTGAATTAAAACAAACCTGAACTGAGTAACTAGTGGTCTTGGGCCTGAGCCACATGGGAAGGTTAAGTAAGCTCAAGCGTTCCCAAATTTGATGCTGAGTGCTAGGCTTGTGTTGCCCTGTACTGCAGCAGTAGCCAATAGGAACACTTATGGTTATATTAACTTTTGCTGTCCATTTCTGGTATTCATTTGCTTGTAATTTTATACAATTGAACACTTAGTTTGATTTTTTCCTGTTCTCTGGGATTACACCGTACTAATATGAAACAAAACAGACCAGTACCAGCTATATATGCCTCCCTGTGTGTCAGTGCAATGAGGAAGTTCCAATTCCCTGCAGGATTACTACTCTGGACAAGAAAAAGGGAAAATGCAAGCAGCAAATTCTATAGCCAAGAGATCACTTCTTCTCCACTTAAACATTGAATACAGTGAATTAATGATGATTACTTATCAAGGTTCTATTGTTGTGAGTGCAGTTTCCCCCTTTTTACAGGAAAGGATAATGGAGAGTTGGCTCAAACAACACACTAATAGAAATAGCTCTTCATAATGTCAACAGCATGCATAGAATGCTGGTACATAGAGTGGATGGTGAATAGGGGAGCCCAGTGGGGCGAAATGTTTTTATCTGGAGTCACAATTTTGTCTTGAACACAGTTAAATTTTACTCTAGCTTTTGTATGAGTTTTCTATATAATAATTTTTTCCTTCCTTAAATAAATATGTATCATTGAGGGTGTAGATGGGTTTATGTTTTCACCCATGAAATGCTGTGAAATCAGCAGGTTCTGCTTAACTTGAAATGAATCAAGAGGTATTTTTATTTGTCTTTCACTCACATTCTTAGGATTAAGCTTCTAAATAAGATTTTCCAATTCATGTAGGTGTCAATATCTAGGTTTTTTCTTTTGTACTAATGGTGCAAAAACCGTAACTTTTAAAACATGGCTGTTTCTTATGTCTCTTGCAGGTTGCACAGAAAGTTTTGAAGAATGCGAAGCAGGCATGCCAGAGATTAGGTCAATATAGAATGCCTTTCGCCTGGGCAGCGAGGTAAGGACAGATCTTGTGAATCTGTATTTTTTCTGAGCTTTTCTTTAACATTATTTCCTGCATCTCACTTGTAAAAGTTGATGTGCTATTTAAATTACTTCTTGTTTTACTTTCAATTAACCAAAGATTTCGGACCAACAAACTTACGCTTCAGCTCTAAAAAGTTGTAAACTTTCATTATATTATTACTCAAACCATTGAATGTTGCCAGTTTCTTTCTATTGTCAGTATTTTTTATTTTAATAAGAATCATACAATTGTTTTGGTTGGAAAAGACCTGCCAAGGTCCACTGCCAAATCCAACCACTAAACCATGTCC